TTATAGAAGGTTACCTGGATAACTATTTGGAATTCATAATTTCACAAATTTTTGAGTTAGACTCTCCACAATTATCTATATTTTTATGGTTTTTTAGGTTTGAATGTTTCTACAATGTATATGAGTTGGAAACTTAGTCCTCAATGCAACAACGTTGAGAGGTAGGACTTTACTGGGTCATGAAAACAGAGTCCTCATAGATTAATGCCATTAGTTTGAGAGTTGATTAGTTATCTCAGGAGTAAGTCCTGATAAAAGGATGAGTTCAATCCTTCTTTTCTCTCTCTCTCTCAACCCTTCTCTTCTCTCTCATGCATGTTCTCTTGCTCTTCTGTCTTTCACCATGGGATGATACAGTCAGATGGCTCTTACCAGACACAAATCTCTCAATCTTGTACTTCCTGGCCTTTAAAACTGTAAGAAATAAGTCTCTGTTCTTTATAAATTACCTATTGTCAGGTATTCTGTTATAGCACTAAAATACGGAACAAGACATATTTTCGATTTACAGATTGTTATCAAACTGTAATAAAGTACCTCACAAAATGAACTGCTTAAATACTAAGAAATTTTAGAGAATAATATGAAAAATACAAGAACAAATAACCACAACCAGAAAGCCAGAACTGACACTGCTACTACTCATATAAGAAAGAGCAAAATCGTGGCCTGCACTGAGGTGTAGCAGGTAAAGCTGCTGCCTGTGGTTCTGGCACCCCACATGTGTGCTGGTTTGAGTCCCGGCTGCTCCACTTCTGATCCAGCTCTCTGCTATGGCCTGGAAAAGCAGTGGAAGATGGCCCAAGTCCTTGGGCCCCTGCACCCACGTGGGAGATTCAGAGGAGGCTCCTTGCTCCTGGCTTTGGATCAGTGCAGCTCCGGCCATTGCGGCCATCTGGGGAGTGAACCAGTGGATGGAAGACCACTCTCTCTCTCTGCCTCTCCTCTCTCTGTGTAACTGTGACTTTCAAGTAAAATAAATAAAATTTTTTTAAAAAAAAGAAGAGCAAAATCAAGCTAAATATCTTAAGGAAAGAATATGAAATATGGACTTACACTTTCTATCATTACTAATGAAATGCCACCAAAGAATATATTATATGACACTGCCAAGTAGACGACATGATTAGGACATCTAAAAATTATTTGACATGTTTACTTCAACTTCAAAAATGTTAATTTGTAGAAAGATTAGTAAATATATAAAATGCATTTGTAGGTACAGATAGAAACATACCCGCATGCTCAGACACAAAAATGCAAAGGTTGGATGCTCCAATTCTTTTTTTTTTATTGTTTGGTATCTAAGCAGGCAAATTTGAGAAAATGCCAATTTATATTACAACGAGACGGTTTTATAAGAGAAAAACCTGATATTGTCACACAATGCTGAAAATAGGCAACTTTCTAAGGCCCCAAGAGAAGTCAAAATATGTAATATTTTAATTTTCTCAGAATCTGGTCTCTATCTATTTCTTTAGCTTTATCACCATTCTTTCTCTTACTCTTCACACTATAATCCACCTTAATTTATTTCTATTTTTTTATTTTATTTTTATTTTTATTTTATTTTTGACAGGTAGAGTGGACAGTGAGAGAGACAGAGAGAAAGGTCTTCCTTTACCGTTGGTTCAACCTCCAATGGCTGCTGCGGCCGGCGTACCGTGCTGATCCGAAGCCAGGAGCCAGGTGCTTCTCCTGGTCTCCCATGTGGGTGCAGGGCCCAAGTACTTGGGACATCCTCCACTGCACTCCTGGCACATAGCAGAGAGCTAGACTGGAAGAGGGGCAACCGGGACTAGAACCCGGGGAGCCGGCACCGCAAGGCGGAGGATTAACCTATTGAGCCGTGGCGCCGGCCTTAACTGATTTATACCTGAAGTAAGAATACTGAAATACCATGACAAAATGTCATCTAAAAATCAAAATTATCAAGAATACTATTAACAGATTTATATTCAGTATCATTATTCTTCCCAATCTGAGGGTGCTCACATATGTGTGCATGTTATCTAGAATATCATAACAATTTAAATACTTTACTTCTTTTCTATTCACAGAATCACAGAATCTAGGAACTGCATTATTTACTTTTAAAATGTCATCTATTTCAGCGCTGGTATTGTGGCTAGTGGGTTAAGCTGCCACTGGCAATGCCAGCATCCTATTTGGGTGCTGGTTTGAGTCCTGGCTGCTGCACTTCTGATATAGCTCCCTGCTAATGTGTCCTGGGAAATCAGTGGAAGATGGTTCAAATGCTTGGGTACCTGCCACTCACATGAGAGAAGGAGTTCCTGGCTCCTGGCTTTGGTCAGCCCAGCCCCAGCCACTAAGGCCATTTCAGGAGTAGTTGGAAGATCTCTCCCAGCCTCTCCCTCCCTGTAACTCTTTCAAATATCTGTTTTAAAAAGTCATTCTGCGGCCGGCGCTGTGGCTTACTAGGCTAATCCTCTGCCTTGCGGCGCTGGCACACCGAGTTCTAGTCCCGGTCGGGGCGCTGGATTTTGTCCTGGTTGCCCCTCTTCCAGGCCAGCTCTCTGCTGTGGCCAGGGAGTGCAGTGGAGGATGGCCCAAGTACTTGGGCCCTGCACCCCATGGGAGACCAGGATAAGCACCTGGCTCCTGCCATCGGATCAGCGCGGTGCGCCGGCCGCAGTGCGCCGGCCGTGGCGGCCATTGGAGGGTGAACCAACATCAAAGGAAGACCTTTCTCTCTGTCTCTCTCTCTCACTGTCCACTCTGCCTGTCAAAAAATAAAAAAAAGTCATTCTGGCTATTCTAAACATCTCCAATGATGAGGCAATCATGGAATCATTTCCTGCCTTCCATTTTAAGAAATGCTCTATCCTTAGACATTTTCTTTCTTGTATAGATCTGAAATCTGTTTTTCTCTAACTTCTAGCTAGAGATCCTAATTCTACTCATTGGCTTATTTAGAGACACCTCAGCTCTACTTCAGTGTAATAACTATACAAATATTCACAGTTCACTATCGTATTACTTATAAGTCTTCTCTTTTGTGGTGTAAGGAACAAAAGGTAGAAAATATGGACAGATTAGTGTTTCAGTATATTTTATGAGTTTGCTGCTTTACATGTATTTTTAAATGTTTACTTATTTATTTCAGTTGAAAGACACAGTGACAGGGAGAGAGAGACTCACTTTCCATCTGCTAGTTCACTTCCCAAATGCCTACAACAGCCAGGGATGGACCAGATCAAAGCCAATAAACTAGAACTCCATCAAGGTCTTCCAAGTGGTTAGCAGAGACCCAAGCACTTGAGTCATCACTGCTTTGCCTCCTAGAATGCATTAGCAGAAGTTGGACTGGAAGTGGAGGAGCCAGGACTTGAACCAGTACTCCAATACAGGATGCACGCGGCCCAAGCACAGTTTAACTTGCAGTACGACACCAGCCAGTACTTTATATTTAATTCTCATGTTGTTCTAACACGTTCATTATTACTATGTTCAAACTGCAACTGAGGAAATTAATGTTCTGAAAGGTAAAGTGACTTGTTCATATAACTTAAGAAGCAGTAACTGAACTATAAATCTGCCATATACCAAAGCCTGTGTTAGCCTCTTTCAAACTCTAAACTGCTCCAAAGAAGTAGAGATAAAAGGGAGTACACAAAGCATGAAAAAACAAATAAAAATATTTCTAAAAACATTCTTTCCCATTTCCAGAATGCTATGTACTAATAAGTTTTCCCTTAAGCCTTATAGTATCTTTCACATTTTTTGTTGTATAACTTAATTACCATCTTACTATTTCCACATTAACTCACGTAACACAAAATTACAAAAGCAGGAATTTTCCTCTTTATTTCAGTCCCTCTCAATTTTAATCTGTCTTATACATTTAAAAGATTATTTTCCTACGGCTGGCGCTGTGGCTCAACAGGCTAATCCTCCGCCTTGCGGCGCCGGCACAACGGGTTCTAGTCCCGGTCGGGGCGCCGGATTCTGTCCCGGTTGCCCCTCTTCCAGGCCAGCCCTCTGCTGTGGCCAGGGAGTGCAGTGGAGGATGGCCCAAGTCCTTGGGCCCTGCACCCCATGGGAGACCAGGATAAGCACCTGGCTCCTGCCATCGGATCAGCGCGGTGTGCCAGCCGCAGCGCACCAGCCGCGGCGGCCATTGGAGGGTGAACCAACGGCAAAGGAAGACCTTTCTCTCTGTCTCTCTCTCTCACTGTCCACTCTGCCTGTCAAAAAAAAAAAAAAAAAAAGATTATTTTCCTTACACATTGATTACTCTATTTTTTAAAGTTCTAAACTAATTACATTACCTTTTGGGATCAAATTTAAAGTTGGCTTTTTTATGGCTTGAGGACTGACAATACTATTCCTAACTCATAACAAACACCACTTATTCTGCCCTCTTCAGACAAACACATATTTGGCATCTTTCCTAAACTTGAAAGGCTCTTGCCTTTCCTATGGAAAAGTGATGGTTCTTTTTCAATTCAACTCTATTAGGTTAAGTCCATCATGGCCTTCATCATTCAGGCTTAATAAATTTGTCTTTATATAGTTAATTACATGATTGTATTATATCAATCATAAGTACTAACTTTCTTTTCCTAGTTACATCATAAACAACTGGAAGATACTTCATCTATTTCTTTCTATTTTTCACCTAAACACAAAATATATGGATAGCAAGTACTTATTAAAATGTTCTCAGCTATTACGGTAAAAATAAGCCCTTCTTCTAAATGTCTCTTCACTTGAATCCTTTGTTTTTGGTTTGCTTGTTAGGGCTTTCTCATCATACACCTTATTATGAAAAAAGATAAAAGCATCTCAAGTTTCCTTTTTTATAAACATGCAATGTAAAAGTGCTAAATCTATATTCCCTTTGGCATATATTACATAAACAAATTAAAGGTAACATTACTTTTCAAATAAATTCCCCCAAGAACATAAAAATGTACATACATATTTAAGGATATGAAAACATAAAATTATGTATTACACATAAAAAAACCCCTTACCTTGCTGAGTATTTTGTTCTTGCATTCGATTCACAGTGAGGTCTAAGGGGCCTTCCTGTTCTTCCTGAAGGGAGTTTTCAGCTTGATTCATGTGGATACTTTTACATATTAGACTTGGTCCAATTGAACCATTTCTATTCTCTTGAATTTTACCACTTTTTGAAATGTACTCAATTGCAAACTGACGTATCATCTTTTTCATTAATTCCTGAGCAACTAGGGGAATGTTAGGATCACAGTTCTGAGGGAGATCTAGGGAAGAAACAAATATAGTAATCATTTAAAACAAGGAAATGCAAATTATTGATATTTAAATGTATTTTTATTACAAATTAATGATTTCAGAAGTCTTTAGCATTAGTCCAAATAACAAAAGGTTTCTGGGACTCAGCAATAGAAACTTCTTGTGAGTTCAATTAGTTTTTCACACAAAATTGTGGCACTTTTAATCATTTCTCAGAAATAAACACTCTGCCAAAACTAAGATATAAACAATTAGACATAGAGGCAGAACAACTTACTTAGTTATTTAATATTCATTCAAATGTATTCTACTAGATGTTAACACAGTGTATGAACATAAATTATATATTTAAGTAACCAATTTTTAACTTAATATAGATACTAAGTACACATATTAAGTATTTATGAAAACATCTTAAATCATTATTATATATCCATTCAATTCTTAAATTCTGTCAAGTGTGCATTTCATGCCTCAATGTCATCAAGAATTTTTCTCTTCAACTTTTTATATAGAAAAAAATGTGATCAAAAAAATTAAGGAATAGAAAAATGACAAATAATCTTCACCAAGATTTAAGAATTATTTTGTCAATTTGCTCTCCTTTACTCTTTAGAACCACTGAAAGTAAATTGTGGAATTATGATACTTTACTTAATATTTTAGCATGCATCTCCTAAGATTATCCTATAAAACAATAACTTCATTACTGAGCATCTTAAACAATCCTCAATCCCAAAACATGCTGACTACCTACAACTATAATGATAAATAATTCTGTGAGAAACTTGATACAAAAGGTACCAAGGTGTGGAAGAGGTGTGGAAAAGATAGATTATTCTTGAAAAGATAGATTATTCTTAAGCACACTGTATAATAAAGATAGAGTTTTGTTATTGGAGGTAGTGGTAGCTGCTTTCTTACACATATTTCTGGCTTTGTCCCAATCCCTTTCAGAGATACAATAATTGGTAAATTGGGAAGGATGAGAAGGTACACTTGGTTAGGCTCCTCATTTCTTCAACACAGACATGGGCCCACTTTTGATGTACTAGTTTTCTGCTTCTTAAATGCCTAAATTTAACCCAGACTAGTGTTATGTGACTGGGCCTGCTCTGATCTAGGGTTAACTGAGATTGATGGGACTGATCTCCCTAGTTTTATGTTTCAGTATTATTTAGAAACTTGTCTAAGAGATCTAAAGGGAAGTTGTCCAATCAGCATCTATCAAGTTCATGAATATAAAATGAAAACGCTTGAAAAGAATGTTGAAAAACGTTACTTAAAGAGGAGAGGCAACAAACTCAGCCCCCACCACAACCACCATCATGTTTGATGATAAAATATGACCTAAGCTGACTTAAGTAATTTATGGAGAAATGTCAATATATTTGGTCACAGGATTTTATTGCAGACCCACTGGAGATATTATTAATGAACATTATACTATATTTCAAAACAAAAAATTTTTGTATTCTTAAAAATATCCTACAGAAGAGAATTTAGGTTTATAAGATAATCTTTTAGCCATCACTTTTGTTCTTTTTTTTTCTTAAAGATTTATTTTATTTATTTGAAAGAGTTACAGAGAGAGGTAGAGACAGATAGAGAGGTCTTCCATCGGCTGGTTCACTCTCCAGATGGCTGCAACAGCCGGAGCTGCGCCCATCTGAAGCCAGGAGCTTCTTCCAGGTCTCCCACGTGGGTGCAGGGGCCCAAGGACTTGGGCCATCCTCCACTGCTATCCCAGGCCACAGCAGAGAGCCTGATCAGAAGAGGAGCAGCCGGGACTAGAACCGGCACCTATACGGGATGCTAGCATGTCAGACCACAGTGTTGGACTCTGTTCTTTATTTAGAACCTGACAGGAAAAAGGCCCAATTTTTTGTGTGGGGGCACTGGAGGTAAAGACTCAGCTACATGATGGCATTTTAGCCATCTTTATTAACTGAGGCAGTTACATATCTTCTCCATATTTGAGTTTCTCCATTTGGTAAAAGAGAAATAGTAACAGAACTTGGGACATCATAATAGGACTTGCTCACAAAATGTAGGGATTGATTGTAGACAAAATATTTAACTCTATCTGGCATACTAACAGTTCAGTAAATGTTAGCTGTTATCATACTTTATATTGGGGAAGTAACAAGAGAAACAAAAAGATGCAGATTGAGCAGTTAGATTTTATTTAAATTACAAAATAGCAAATAAGTATGTTATTAAGTAGGATGACAGCTTAGAAAATACAAAGAACATAATTTATAAACCTAGGTGATATTTTTCAAACAGATTAAATAGCATTGCCAAAATAAGAATCCCTCTCTCTCTCTCACACACACACACACACACACATCACTTCTTATTACTTCAGGAATCTTTGAAGACTTCTAAGAATGCTCCTCCCTACCTTTCTCCAAAGGAGATGTCCATTTACTTTTTTACTTTTATGTACTTTGGTTAATTACCTTATAATTTATTGACTAAGATCATCATCATTTTATGCATTCAAAATGATTACATTTGCCAAAACAGGAATGAATGCATGATTAGGTTTATGTCATATGATTAGGGCTATATTTTAGGATTCAGTTTAAAATTAAGTTTAAAGCATATTAGATAGCACTACTTTGTTCTTTCTTCATGTACTCCTTTTCCTTCCCTTTTCTGTCATATTGCACAGTCCATTTGTGAGACTGAAGGACTTAACCAAAATAAATAAATAAAAATTTAAAAAGCAAGAGAAAGACAAGGATAATGCTGCTGAGCTGATTATCAGTCAGTGAGCCTTCTAAATACATGTATAAAATGCCATAACTACAAAAAAGGAAATAAAAACTTAAACTCTAGGTCAAGGATTGGAAATTCAAATTTTTACATGGGTTGGGCAAGTAGAAAATATAGTCATCCTCGATATCCAAGGGTTGTACATCCATGGATTCTACCAACACAAATACAGATAAAAATATTTGAAAAATTATATCTGTACTGAACATGTATAGAACTTTGTGTCATTATTCCTTAATACATACAGTATAATATATATTGGGTATAAGTAATCTAGAGATGATTTAAAGTATATATGAGGGTGTGCATAGATTATATGCACTACTACACCATTTATGTCAGACAAGCACATGCTGCTTTGGCATCTGCAGGGGTCTTGGAACAAATTCCCCACGGACACTATACTTTATTAGAAGAAAGAATGTTTATATGCAAACAGGATTTACTGCCCCTAAGAAAACAAACATATTTTGCCTTATCTCTTCATTTTAAAAAGTTAACTAATTAAAAAGTTTAACAAGCTCTGTGGCAGACAGCTTCTAGATGATCCTCAATGATTCTGGCATATCCTGATATTTTATATGCAGCCCACTCCATGTTGTATCATGGGTGTTCTGTGTGAAAATACTGTGGAACTCTGTCACTTTAGAAATAAGGCTATAAAAGAATTAGATTTTCTTAAAGATTTATTTACTTATTTGAAAGTTAGAGTTACACAGAGAAAAAGATAGAGAGAGAGTCTTCCATCTGCTGGTTCACTCCCCAGTAGGCTGCAACAGCCAGAGCTTCATCGATCTGAAGCCAGGAGACAGGAGCTTCTTTTGGGTCTCCCACGTGGGTGCAGGGGCCCATGGACTTGGGCCATCTTCTACTGCTTTCTCAGGCCATAGCAGAGAGCTGGATAGGAAGTGGAGCAGCTGGGACTAGAACCGGCGCCCATATGGGATGCTGACACTGTAGGTAGAGGCTTTACCTGCTATGCCAGAGCGCAGGCTCCAAGAATTAGTACATTTTTTTTTAATTTTTAATTTTTTTTTGACAGGCAGAGTGGACAGTGAAAGAGACAGAGAGAAAGGTCTTCCTTTTACGTTGGTTCACCCCCCAATGGCTGCTGTGGCCAACATACTGCACTGATCCAAAGCCAGGAGCTTCTCCTGGTCTCCCATGCGGGTGCAGAGCCCAAGCACAGTGCCCCGACTGCCCCGACTGGGAGTAGAACCGGGAGTGCTGGCGCCGCAGGCGGAGGATTAGCCTAGTGAGCCATGGCACCAGCCAGAATTAGTATATTTTAGCTTGAACATTGGTGCTTTCATATTATCTCATCTCATTCTTATTCTCCTCTCCCCTCCTATCGCCCTTTCCCTTTTTTCAGTCTTCTCCCCTTCTCTTCACTCATTTGTCCCTCCACCTCTCTCTCTTTACTCACTCTGAAGGAAATCTTAACAATGAAGAGCCACAGAGGTAAGCTCCCAGAGAGAGAGACTGAAGCTTCCTGTGAGTGAACTTAGAAGAACATCTTTCAGGTCAACCAAATCTCAAATGACTGGAGCCTCAGCTGAACCCTTTACTGCCATCTCATGAGAAACCAAATCATCCAGCTGAGCCACCCTCTAATTCCTGACCTGGAGAACATGAATGAGAGATAATAAACGCTTGTTGTTTTACTACTAAATTTTGAAGGTAGTTTGTTAGACAGTAATAAATACAGATGTTGGTACATGTTAATGGGATACTGCTGTCATAAAAACTCAAACTGCTCATGTGGCTTGTAAATCAGGTAGTGGGTTTTGTTGTTGTTGTTGTTGTTGTTTCTAAAAAACTACTTTGTTGAAATATAGTATATATACCATGAAAATGCATATAAGTGTACAGATAAATGAGTTTTTGGTCCTCTGATCACATTCATAACTAACATCCAAATTAAGAACAAAACATTACTAGTGGGGCTGGCACTGTAGCATAGTGAATAAAACTGCCACCTATGGCGCCAGCATACCAGATGGGCACGGTTTCAAGTTCCTGCTGATCCAGTTCCAATCTGGCTTTCTGTTAACATGCCTGGGAAAAGCAGTGGAAGATGTCCCAAGTTCTTAGGACCCTGCACCTTTTGTGGAAAACTAGAATGAAATTCCTGCTTTTGGCCTGGCCCAGCTCTGACCATTGCAGCCCTTTGGGGAGTGAGTCAGCAAACAGAAGATCTCTCTTTGCCTCTCCAACCCTGTAA